ACATCATGGCCAGTGGGGAGGAAGTAGAGAAAATATCTTTTCTCTTTTGTTTAGGAGTCACATTCCACAGAACTGCTCCCAGCCTCAGATGCCTCCTACTATTCAACTGTCTCCTGGGCTTGGCAAGCTTAACTTTCTATTTTGTTTTGTTTTGTGAGGCAATAAAGGTTAAGTGACTTGCCCAGGGTTACAAAGCTAGTGTCAAGTGTTTGAGGCCAGATTTGAACTCAGGTCCTGTGGACTCCAGGGCCAGTGTTCTATCCACTGTGCCACCTACCTGCCCCACAAGCTTAACTTTTTAAAGGCCTCCATTCTGTATATGGCCTGCTGTTCTTCCAATTCAATCAGAGAACTCTTTCGTCCTTTATGAAGGGACAAGGACAAGGACCAGACATATCTTCGTATTTTGTTAGCGTACTAATATCTGGTCACTTCTGTTATCTTCTCCTTTCCAAGATTATAATAGCCACTTGTGTGGCTAGGTAGTTCAATAAATGGATCATTGGGCCTGGAGTCAGGAAGACCTGAGTTCAAATCCAGCCTCAGATCCTTATTAGCTGCATGATGCTGGACAAGTCACTTAATCTCTATCTGCCTCGGTTTCCTCAATTGCAAAATGGAGATAATAACAGTATCTACCTCCCAGGGTTATTGTGAGGATCAAGCAAAATAACATTTGTAAACTTCTTTGTACAACACTCAGCACATAGTAGGTGCTACATAAAAGCTAGCTATTTTCATTATTTGGGCAGCTAGGTAGTGCAATGGATAGAGTGTTGGGCCAGGAGGAAAGAAGACTCATCTTCCTGAGTTCAAATCTGTCCTCGGATGCTTACTAGCTGTGTGACTCTGGGCAAGTCACTTAACCTTGTTTGCCTCAGTTTCCTTATTTGTAAAATGAGCTGGAGAAGAAAATGGCAAACCATTCTAGTATCTTTGCCAAGAAAACCCCAAATGGGGCCATGAAGACATTACTGAAACAACTGAACAACAACAATATTATTATCATCATTATATTTTATATATAAATATGTGTATATATACATATATGATATATGGTATATAAATATGTATTAGGAGGGACATTCCTGAGCCATTAAATTATAGAACCATAGATCTAGAACTGGAGGGGAACTCGGAGGCCATGTAATCCAACCTCCTCATTTTATAGATGAGGAAACTGAGTTTTAAGGAAGTTAAGTGACCTGCCCAAGGTCACACACCAAGTGATAGAATTGGGATTCAAACTTGAATTCTCATTTCAAATCCAATGTTATTTGTATGGAAACACACAAAAATGTCGCAAATTATTAGCAACATAGCAATCCTGACCAGAGTAATCAACATTTAGACCTTTGAAAACTCTTGTTGAACTTGGTTTTAAAATGTTTTCTTATCTTAGTACCTCGTAACAACAGTCTTTCTCGGCTATGACACTCCAAACAGTTCAACAATATACATTGTCATTTTATAGCAGAGGTGATTAGGTCTTTAAGTGAAATATAAAATTTGCCTGTGTGGAAGCTGAAACTTTGCTTTCAAAATAGAACTTAAAAGGTAGCTAGGTGGTTCAGTGGTTAGAGCACTGAGCCTCTAGTCAGGAAGATCTGAGTTCAAATTTGGCTTCAGACAAGTGTCTGAGTCCAGAGAGAGTCAAAAGAGCAGTCTAAAGCATGGAACAGAGAAATGCATTCTGCAAAACTCCAGATCCAGATTAGTTGTGTGATCCTGCTGGGCAAGTCACTTTAACTTCTGTGTGCCTCCATTTCCCCAACTGTAAAATGGGGATATTACCTACCTGCCATGCTTGTTGTGAGGATCAAATGGGATAATATCTATAAAGTACTTAGTAGAGCTCCTGGCAAATGGTAGGCCCTTAATAAATGTTTCCTTCCTTCCTTCCTTCCTTCCTTCCTTCCTTCCTTCCTTCCTTCCTTCCTTCCTTCCTTCCTGCCTTCCTTCCTTCCTTGTTCTTCTGTCTGTAAAGATTATCTAGAAGTGACAAGATGTTTTTTAAAAAGTCAAGAAATTAATTATTATAGTAATCTCTGGGAAATTTTAATAATCTCTATAGGGATTTTCCACCCCCAAATCAACTGGTTTTAATTCAAGATTTATACCACTTTAGCAGAAATTACACATCTTTAGATATCTATTCTTGTTCAAATTATGCCTCTGAGTTTCACTTTTTTCACAAGTAGCATATAGATTCCAGGTATTTAAAAATAAATGTCTTCTACTAACCAGAAATTGTTCTAGTTTACTTAGATCATTAGGATTTAGAGACTCATTGGGGATTTAGAGATTACTGTCTTATGTGCCCTTGGAATTTGGGGGATGGGGTGCAGGAAGGTCAGGATATGTGATTTCATCAGTGTGGATACATTTTTCACATAGGCAGATCACTGACTCCTCCATAATTTATAGCCTTAGAAAATTGCCCAAGCATTGAAAGATTAAGTGACTTGTCCAGAGTCACACAGCAAGAATGGTTCAAGAGGGCTTGGTGGGAGATCTGTGGATGACCCTCTCTTCTATGTGGCTTTGCCTCTCCTTGGAAGTTATACGTGGTATTTATTTTAGCCAGTTTTCTTCCATATTCAAACGTTAGTTCAGAATTCAGGATCTGAACTCTGAATCAGCTGCACTTCTGCCAGGTGACTTGCAAGGGTCCACTTCATCTTCTCAGGCACAGCCCTTTGCTCAATGGTGGGCATCCATTGAGTCAGCAGGGATGCCCCAATCTCTCAGATCGTCCAACATCTGAGTATGCCATTTAGTAGAAGGAGCCATAAAACAGAGTAGCACAGAAACAGCCTTTTTTTCATGCGCAATTACTAAATCACTGCCTAATTACTGAATGCTGTAAGAAGCTCCAGTCACTAGGAGACTGATTCAGAGAAGGTTCTCCACAAGTGAGGTGAATATTGGCCAGACCTGGATACAGAGGTCTTTGTAAATGAAGGTAAAGGCACTTTCTATGAACAGTCATACCATAAAGCTAGACGCTACAGGAGAGCTCTTCAGTCAGTCATCATTCATAAAAACAACTCACATTTCTATAGCACTTAAGGTTTCTGAAGCCCTTTACATCCATTGTCTCATTTGAGCCTTACTGTGAGATAAGTGCTATGATTATTCCCATTTTGCTGATGAGGAAACTGAGGATCAGAAAAGTTCAGTGACTTGCTTAAAGTCACACAGCTGATGTCTGAGGTGGAATTTGAACTCAGGGCTTCCTGACTTCCAAGTCCACTCTGTCACCTAGCTGCCTCTCTTCACTGACCACCGTAGGTAGAAATAGAGTTAACACAAGCAGTTTCTGTACTGCAAGGAGGAATCAGCAAAATAAGAAGTTTCCTCTCCTTTGAGAATCTGTTTTACTTTGGAACTTACAAATACACAGGGACCTTTATGAGCTTTGTGTTGGAGGGCTCCAAATGTGAACCAAAGCCATGAGCTAATGCTGAAATATCTGGACAAGGGCAGAATGGTTCTGTGGAGAGAGGTCTTATTCACCCTGCTTTCAGGGTCAGCTGTGAGCAAGAGAGAAGAAACTGTGCTGTTTTCCAACAGTCTATGGTGTTCTGCTTCTGAAAATGCTCCAAACAAAGGCGTCAACAGCTTGGCCAGTTGGTAACAAGTTGCATTTGATCGACTGTTAATATCATTTACCAAATTATGTTACAGAAATAGAACAAGATTAGACTTTAGGGTTGATCAAGTCCAACCCCATCATTTTACAGATGAGAAAACCAAGACTCAGGAAAATTAAATCTTTGCTGTTTACTATTAGTATCATTACCAAATCATAAACTGTGTCACAAAAATTGACCTGGAAGAGACTTTAAAGGTCATGAAATCCAATTCCATCATTTTGCAGATGAGGAAACCAAGACTTGAGGAGATTAAGTCAAGTTGACAAGCATGTATAAAGTACCCATTATGTGCCAGGAACTGTGGTAAGGGTCCGGGATACAAAGAAATTCAGAGGGCTGTTCCTACCCTCAAGAGCTCACATTCTAATGGAGGTGACAACCTGCTTATAATTGGTTATGTACACAATATCTGTACATGGAAAGTAATTGCAAAGGGGAAAGTATGAGCAGCTTGGGGGAAGGGCTATTTGCAGATATGGTAGTTCTGGGCTGAGACTTGGAAAAAATGCAGGAATTCTTAGAGGTGAAGGTCAGAAGGGAGAACATTCCAGGCTTGGGGGGCATTCCAGACAGTACAACGGCATGAAGATGGGTGATGGAGTGTTGTATGTAAGAAATGGCAAGTTTACGGATCACTGAATATCTGGAGGAGAGTAAAGTGTAAGAAAATTGGAAAGGTGGCTAGACTTTAGGAACTTAAGGCATCCTAGGGCAAAGAGTTTAAGAACTATTGATAGAGATAAAAACCCACACTCCCAGCTGAAGTCACACAGTGTGTGTAATTCCAGTAATTCCAATGCATGTATATGCCCTGATTAGATCTTGACTTTAGCTTCTTTTTTTAATGGTATTTTATTTTTTCAATTACATGTGAAGAAAATTTTCAGCATTCACCTTTATAAGATGTTGAGTTCCAAACTTCTTTCTCCCTCCCTCTCTCTCCTCCCCCTTCCCCAAGACAGCAAGCAGTCTGATATAGGTTACACATGTAAAATCATATTAAACACATTTCCACATTTTGACTGTAGTTTCTGAAAACTACCCCAAAATGTCTCCTGGTCACCCTTACAAATAATTACTTGCCTGAATACCCAAACAGAACATCTTTAAATAATTTTATTTAAATTTATTTTATCATTAATCTAGAATATGCAACATAACCCAGTAAGAAAGCTAAGTTAAGGCGGGGGGGGGGGGGGGGGGAGGGGAGGAATACCACCTTTCTGTGGGCCAGAAATTGCCTTTAGGATTTATCCATAAGTAGCCCAAACTGCTTTAAATATATTCAAATCAAGCCATGGCCGTTTAAGTCTCATTTTCCTTTTTAAAATCTATTGACAGGGTTTGGCAGCGGTATGGTCTATCTCCCCGCGGTAGTCATGGTGGGACAGTATTTTCAGAAGAGACGAGCCCTAGCTCAGGGGCTTAGTACAACCGGGACAGGATTTGGTACCTTCCTCATGACCGTCCTACTAAAATATCTCTGCTCAGAATATGGATGGCGAAGTGCAATGTTCATCCAAGGGGCCGTCTCCTTGAATCTGTGCGTTTGCGGAGCCCTTATGAGACCTCTCCCTCCCAATGAGACCCAAAGCAAGAAAATCCTTAAGAACAAAAGTGGGGAGAGGGATCTCAAACTCCCCCTGTCCCATTCAACGGAGTCCATAAAATCGAATGGGCACCTAAACAAAACAGAAGAGAGAGAGGACGAGCCAGTGAAGGAGGAAATGCTCAGTAACACCCCAGTCCTGGAAAACAAAGGCAAAGACAAAGTTCAACTTGGAAAGAATATGTACGTTCTCCGGATTCTTAAGCTAGTGAGTCGATTTACCATTAGAATCAGGAAGGGCTTCTGGGATTGGTACTCCAGTTATTTTGGAGCTGCGTCCTTGTTTACAAATCGGACGTTCGTAGCCTTTATTTTCTGGGCTCTTTTTGCCTATAGCAGCTTTGTCATTCCATTTATCCATCTCCCAGAAATAGTCAAGCTGTACAATCTGTCTGAACAAAACGATGTTTTCCCCTTGACTTCAATCATAGCAATAGTTCATATCTTTGGAAAAGTGATCCTTGGAATTGTGGCTGACCTGCCCTGCATCAGCGTTTGGAATGTCTTTCTGCTGGCCAACTTGAGTCTCGTCATCAGTATCCTTATTCTGCCGTTGATGCACACGTATGCTAGCCTGGCAGCTATGTGTGCCCTGATAGGCTTTTCTAGTGGCTATTTCTCCCTAATGCCCGTGGTGACTGAAGATCTGGTGGGCATAGAACACCTTGCAAATGCCTACGGCATCATCATTTGTGCCAATGGAATATCTGCCTTGCTGGGACCACCGTTTGCAGGTAAACAGCTCGTGGTCTTAATAATGTACCGGTCACATAAATGACCTCATCTATTCTTGGGTTGGTGATCACACAGCATTATGTCTATAACCTTTACGTTTAGTTCACAGCAAATAAGAAAGAGGCAGCTACAGTTCAGGGGCTCTTAAGCAGTTTTTGTTTCATGGTCCCCATGAGCAGTCAGTCTGATGAAGCCTATGGACTGATCCCTTCTTAGAATAACGTTTTCAAATGCGTAAAACAAAGTAAAATACATAGGATTGCAAAAGAAACCAACTATATTGAAATAATTATTTTTAAAAATTTCAAGTTCCAGGACCCCAGGTTAAAACTGTCTGGTGGTGGTGGTCATCATCATCATCATCATCATCATCATCATCGCAGCTAACACCATGTATGTAGCACTTACTGTGTTGCTAGGTACTGTGCTGAGCACTTTACAATTATGGCAATAGATAGAGCACTAGACTCAGAGTCAGGAAGACCTGGATTTGAGTTCTTCCTCCTTCTTACTTGTTGTATAACCCTGGGCAAGACACTTCACATTTCTAGGCTCCAGTTTTTCCATCTGTAAAATGAGGGGGTTGCATTCAGTGACCTCCAAGGTCCCTTCTAACTCTAAATTGATGTTAGGAGATTTAAAAATAACTGCCTTGTATAATCTTTTTTTTTAAATCAAGAAATGAAATATGAAATAAGATGTAAATCCTTTTTTATATATTCATGCTTCCTTTTTTCTTCCCATTCCTGCTGTGTTTGCTTGTCCCTTAATTTAGTAAGTTACCAGGGTCTTCCTTCAGGTAGGACTTAAGTACTATTTGGTTTTGGTCTATAAGATCTCTCATATCCCTGGGGGTGCCTTTTCAGAGTTTCTATGATGGTGATAGGGGGCAGCTAGGTGGCACAGTGGATAGAGTGCTGGGCCTGGAGACAGGGAAAACTCATCTTCCTGAGTTCAAATCTGGCATCAGGCATTTACTCTCTGGGTGACCCTGGGCAAGTCACTAACCCTGTTTGCCTGGAAACTGGGCTAGAGAAGGAAATGGAAAACCACTCCAGTATCTTTGCCAAGAAGACCCCAAATGGGGTCATGGAGAGTCAGACATGACTGAAGTGACTCAACAACAAAAAAAAAGGATATTGACAAAAAGACCTTAGAAAGCACTGATGCCTTGTAGTTGGAGCCGGTGAGCAGAAGTCTTGGCTTAGGGTTACAGTGTTGGGGCTGCTGATCCAGGTCATCAGATGGTAAGCACTATGGGCAGCTTAGGCCATCTGATTTGGTCACCAGATGTCAAGCTACCAAGGGAGGGTGAAGAAGCCCTGTCCTTAGGTAAAGAAAAGGATATACAATTCAATGTCAAGGTGACCTCAGCAGACCTTCCTGGAACCTGGTCACAGGAAACAGGAAACAGTGGTAGCAGAAGACTTTTGCTGTCCTTTAAACTAGAGGCCAGACCTATTTGCTCAGCCTTGCCTTCTGTGCCCAGAACCTGGAACTTAAAATGCCCATGGTGGTGTGTTTAATGAGGCTCCTTCACTCCAAGCATCTTCTCCACATAGATGGGAAATGGAAGTATGCCAGAGGACTAGGTATTGGGTCTGTGGTTTCCTTGACATTGGGAGGATTAGGCAAGGGCCCTTCTCCTCCATAGGGGCCCTAACATCATCCCTCTTCTCATTTCTCCAGTGGTGGGGTACTCAATCAGGCCTTGTAAGGTGTAAAGCTTAGGTCATCCAGGATATGTTCCCAACCCTCCAACAGACCTTAGGCTTATAAGCCTTCTAGACAACCAGGTGTGTTGGTACATGTGGGAATCCCTGGCTTTCTGGACTTAGAATTACATATGGTTATCCATGGTAAATGAGATGAACTTGATTTTTAAAAAATGTTTTAATGACTGCATTTCATTATTTTTAGTTTCCTCTGTAGGCTTATATACTTTATTTTATTTATTTAAAAACACTATAGTTCTGGGTCTCTCTTTGAAAATAGAGAATGATGTTGTGAGAGTTTGGGGTATTAGTCATAGATTTGGGATGGAGAAAAAGGAGAAGAATTGATTACATTGGTTATAATGAACAATCTCAAAGAACAAAGAGTTTACTAATATTTTTAAGTCACTCTGATTGTGGACAGCAGGTAGACAAACACACTTGATCACACACCTGATCTACCACCATCTTTGTAGGCCACTTCTGCTTGGGTTAGAAGTTGACTTGGAGAATGGAACTTGGTCAGTGGTGAGATGGTCCATACTGGGACTCAGAGGTAGATAGACCCACTAGAGCAGGACAGCAGATCATAACAGGGAATAGCAGCAGGTAATGTGGACAGTCAGGTGGTTGGTTCCCAGGGAGATCTGGCAGATTTCCAGCAGGTGAAGACTGCATGACAACACATGGGTCTGGCAGTAGGTATTTGGGAGATGTAGGAGTTTGACAGTGGAGTTCAGGCAATAGGCAATAGAGGGAGTTCTGGGTAGGTATCTGGTAGGCATCAGAGAGATCTAACAGTAAGAAGAGGGGCTAGTGTTAGTTATGTGCAGTTTTCTATCTCCTGTCTCTGTTTGCCCTTGATCTGTCTTTAGTCACTTAGCTAATTAGCACTTATTAAGTGTCCATTATATACCAGGCATTGTGCTAGGCATTGGCTATACAAACACAAAAATGAAACAATCTGTCCTCTTAGGGAGCTTATGCTCTAGTGAAAGAAAAGACGTGTATATATGGACAGCACAAACATATATGTACACATGTGTGTATATGTTTTATATACATGACAAATATATATTATATATAATCAGATTATTGTATAAATAGCTATCTACACACACACAAATGGGGCAGTCAGGTGGAACAGTGGATAGAGCCTTGGGCCTGGAGTCAGGCCTCATCTTTCTGAGTTCAAATCTGGCCTTAGGCACCATCTGGGTGACCCTGGGCAAGTCACTTAACCCTGTTTGCCTCAGTTTCTTCATCTGTAAAATGAGCTGGAGAAGGAAATGGCAAACCACTCCATTGTCTTTGCCAAGAAAACCCCAAATGGGGTCACGAAGAATCAGACATGGCTGAAACAATTGAACAACGAATATAACGCAAACACAAAATAAATGTAGGCTAGTTAGAGAGAGAGGGCCCTGGCAATTGGAATCAGGAAATGTTTCATGTAGGAAGTGGTGTTTAAGCTGTGTCTTGAAGGTAGACAAGGATTCTGTGGGGCAGAAATGAGGAGGGGGTATATTCCTGCATGGGGGCAGCCAGTGCAAAAGTGTGAAGATGGTGGAAGGACTATCCTGTAGGAAGAACAGTTTGGCTGGATTGTAGAGTGTGGGAAGGGAAGTAATATATGATGGGGAAATAACAGATTGGGAGCAGGTTGTAAAGGTCTCTAAAAGCCAGAGGAGTTTATCTGACCCTTTAAGCAATGGGGAACCACTGGGGTGGAATAAGTGCCATGACCAGATCTGTGCTTAAGAAGAATCTTTTTGTCAGCTGTGGGTAGGATGCATTGGAGTGAGGAAAGGCTTGAGGCAGGGAGACCAATCAGAAGGCTATTGCACTAATTTAGGCAAGAGGTGATGAGGGCCCCAACTGAAGGTGGTGGTTGTGGGACTAGAGAGAAGGGGCCTGATGCAAAAATTGTAGGAGGTAGAACAAGATTTGGCATCTGACTAATAACACCGAGGTTATGCACCTAGAAGATGAAGAAGACTGATCCTAGGATAGAAATAGGAAAGTTTTGAAGAGGAGTAGGTTTGAGGAGAACGATAACATTTTCTCTTTTGGACATGATGAGTTTGAGATGTCTCTGGGACATTCAGTTTGAACCATCCAATAAGGCAGCACATGATTTGGGACTGAAATTCAGAGGAGAGACTGAGGTTGGATATATAGCTCTGTGAGTCATCTGCAATGGAATGATAATTAAGCCAGTGGGGGCAAAAGAAGTTACCAAGAGGGAGGAGAGGACCTAGGACAGAATCTTGGGGAATGCCCACAGTGAAGGGACTGCTGCTGTTCAATGCTATATCTTGATACCTACTATTGGTATTCTAACTGCAGTTTCCATTCAAAACCTGTCCGCACCTCCCCTGGTCCCAGCTTGACTATGAACTGGATATTTGTGAGTAGTTCCCATCATTTTGTATTTGTGTCATATTTGTCATTCAGTTGTTTCAGCCATGTCCAACTCTTCGTGACCCCATTTGGGGTTTTCTTGGCAAAGATACTGGAGTGGTTTTCCGTTTCCTTCTCCAGCTCATTTTACAGATGAATAAACTGAGGCAAACCGGGTTAAGTGACTTGCCCAGGGTCACTCAGCTGGTGTCTAAGGCCAGATTTGAACTCAGAAAGATGAGGCCTGACTCCAGGCCCAAGGCTCTATCCACTGTTCCACCTGACTGCCCTATTTGTGTGCGGATGATGAGCCAGGAAAGAAGACAAAGAAGGAATAGTCAGGTAAGTAGGAGGAGAACCAGGAAAGAGTAATTGGCAGTAAACCCAGAGAGGAGAAGGGACAGGGGAAGGTCACTGGTATACAGTGCAGCAGAGAGGTTGAGAAGGATGAGGACTGGGAAAAGAAGACGGGTTTGGTGATTAAGAGATCACTGACGACTTTGGAGAGTCCTTTCAGTCGAGTGATAAGATCAGAAGCCAGATTGTGAAGAGTTGAAGAGTAGGTGAGAGGAGAGGATGTGAAGGCAAGACTGAGAATACCTTTTTCAAAGAGTTTGGCTGACAAGGCCAGAGATATAGGACAAGAAGAAGGAAAGTTGGGATTCTAAGAGGCAGAGGCAGGAGAGTATTCCAGACTTGGGGCTCAGCAAGGGCAAAGGCACAGAGACGATGCATCACTGTGTGTGTACAGAGATGTTGGGTGAACCTCAGCAGCCTCCTGGAAGGTTCCATGCTGCCATAGTTGGCCTGTCAGGGAAATCGTCGGTGTAAAGAACTGTGGAATGAACCATCGGTCCTACTGAGCAAACCCAAAAACCTCT